CCATGAATACAAGTCAGTATTTAATTTACATTAAATAATAATAAAATTAATTTTAGACTGAGGAAGTACCTGTTGTCAAGTCTAAACCTCGTAAAAGGCCAAAGAATGCTCCATTTAATAAGTTGTCAAAACGTAGTAAAAAGAAAAAGCAACTGCCTAAATTCCCTCTTGAGCCTCCACCTTACACAGAGACAATTGAACCTAATACTATTGAGCCAATTACATGTACTAATGATCTACCTCAAAATATCAGTTGTGATGTTACATCACTTTACTCATCTGTTGCCAATCCTGATATTTATTTACATCCTGGTAAAGATTAATTCAAACTAATTAAGATAGAATGGACTGGAAACGATTAGTTTAAAACTCGTGTACTTTGGGAAAATATTAATGGTTGGCTTTGTCATAAATTATATTTGTGTCAAGATAGTGTTCAAGGGTTTTAATTATCATTTACCTCTAGATATAAATCTCTTAAGGCACCATCAACCCAATGAAATAATGCTCACCTACAGTCTATTCTATCTTGCTTTATGATTCATTTTTTAAATCATAAAAATAATAATAATAAATTATTTTTAATAGTTGGTAGTAATATTATTACACATGAGGTGGAAGTTGGTGATGAAGTACTTGCTGGCTTAGATGCAGCTGATTTAGCGAGTCATGCTTCACGGTTATTGGATGATCATGATGATATTACTAGTGTGTTCAGTCAAATACCTGTAGATGCGTTTAACGATCTCTTTACTGGTAAGTATTTATGAGAATTAAATATGTTAATAATGCTGATTCATAATTTTTTATTATTATTTTCTTTTTTTTTAAAGTTGATAAAAATGGACAGTATGTACCTTCTCGCGAAGAAACTGAAGAATTAGAAAGAGCATTGGAGGCTGTTGACATGGATGTTAGATCGCTTGAAAGATTGTCACAGTCACACATGGCTAATATTTTGGATCCTGCTTCATTACTAGCAGACTTACCAATACCTCCTTTTTCCAGCTCATAGCAAATTCAAGATATTAACATAACTAAGGTAATTTTATGAATAAAAGATAATTATTATTAAAAAATTAACTTAGATAATTTCTTAAAAAAAAAAAAAAATACTATTAGTCAATAAAGTTATATTTCAAATTTCTTTTCTTCCCCTGTCTTTATTATAATTTCCTAAACGTTTGTGATAAATAGTTTTAAAGAATTTCTAATTAATTTTTTATTTGTAATTAGCATTTTGTGTTTTATTAAATTTCAATTAATTTTATTACTTTTAGTCAAGATAATGCATACTTAGTGTATCAAATTTTCCATATAAATATCCATTTGTAAAAATACATAATTAATTAATTAATTAATTTTACTTTTAAATAAAATCTATCCTTATTGCTATTGCAATAACTAAATATATTTTATCAATAAATTAGATTAAAATTAATTATTGACAAAAAAAAAAAAAAATAAAAATTTAATTTAATTACAAATAAAATAAAATTGAATTAAATGTATATTGTACTCATTTATGATAAATACATGATGATTTTGATTAAATTATCATTGAAATTATTATTTATTTTTGAAACTAAACAGTATTTTACAGCTAACTTTATTGTTTTGTAATGAATTATAATAACATATAATTTACCACTATTAGAATCTTATTAGCTAATTTTTATTTGTTTAATTTTAAAATTAAAGTAGAACAAACCAAATATAATTTTAAATTATAAAATGCAAGGAAAATAATAATGTTAATATGTGATAGCCATAGTTTTTACAACCTATTATTTTTAATTTTTGTTATGTATATTTTATTTAGGTTGACTAATAATTAAGTACATTTTTATTTCTATTATAAAAAGTTAAAGCTATTTGGTATTTTTAGATTTAACTAATTTATTTTTATTTTTGGAAATTAAATATTTAGTTGTATACTTTTGTTATTAAATCACATTAACATTCCGAGCATTATATCAAATAGAAATCAAACTTTATGCTGTTACCATTATTTTATAATATCTACATATTCTTATTTATTTGACTTATTTTAAATTAAGAACAATAATACATTTTAAATGTCAATAATTATACTTTTACAATTCTTTTAAATCTAACTTAATACTTGACCAATTCATACTTGTGTTAGATTTTAACTACCATCTTATATTTGATACTCTAATTTATGCTTGATGCATGATAGTATCTCTGACTTTACAGTTTACCTCATTTGTGTTAAAATTATTTGATAGTGTTTATTTTTATATTTATTTACTCAAGTAATTGTGAAAGTATTGATTTTACAAGTCAATTGGAAATTTGCTGTTTACCTGACAAATTTAGATAATGATTATCTATTATTAATCTCATGATTAATTGTTCTATACAAACAATATAAATATAAATTATTAAAATTAATTATTATATAACTTATTGTAAACAATATTTAATTATTATTATTATTATTATTAAGTATTAACAATGTCTGTTAATTAAAATAAAATAATAGTTAATTTGTGTAAGTACCCAATTTAAAACCAATAAAATTATATATGAATTTTTTTTTAGATTAATATTTTTTATTTGTTTAGGCAATAACTATTGTATAATTAATTATTATATATACTTATAAGGCTAAGCAAGTAAAGTAATTTTTTATTTTGTTAAGTTATTAGGTATAGATAAGATTGTATAAGTTAGGTTTAAAGTTAAAATTTGTTTTTCTTTTTTCTTAACTTGTAGTTTTTTCAAGTTAAATGGAACAAATAGAAAAAAAAAAATTGTTAAAAATCAGTTTAATTTTTTTTCTAAACTTACAAACCATGCAAAGTACAATAAGCAAACTTGATAAAATTATTTACAGCAAAACAAAAATATCTATTAAAAATAATACACAATAAGAGTAATAGACGGAAAAAAATTACTTTGAAGTTATTTAATAATACAACCCTACTAACAGAAGATATTAATTATTTAAATTAATTTTTGGTTATAATGTTTTTAAGAGATGAAGGAGACACCAATGTTTCTATATGTTAAAATTGGGTTATCTGACAATTTTATTTATCAAAAACTTGAAATCTATGTTGTCAGATAAGATTGTGATTCTTTGTGAAAATGTATATACAGTTGTTTTTATGTGAATTATGTTTATCTCTAATGAAATCTAAAAATAACGTATTCAACACAGTCTTTAATAGATAGCATTCCCATTTCTTTTCATTTCTTTTTTCCATAAAAACAATGATTTGTATAAAACAAAATATATGTTAAATCTATGTCTATGGGGTAGAAATAAATTAACTTAAAATGACTTTAAAATTATTTAACTGATTAATAACTGCATATCATGGAAAATAATTTAACTCATTTTACTCATTAAGTTGAAAGTTACTTTTTATAAAAAATAACTTATTATGTTATTTAGTTAAAAGTACCTTGTTTTGTAACTTACTAAACTTTAACTTTTTAATTTATTTATGCCTTAAATATATTTATAAAATTAAACTTTAATTTACTAGAAATTGATTATTTAGTTGGTCAGATTTTAAAAAGATTATACAGAAATGAAAATTTAGTTTTAAATTGTTTTTAGTTTGTATTAAATTAATTTTACAATAGTTTCAATTAATTTATTTTTAAATTTTTAAAATATTGATAATATTTTTTATTTGTGATTATATGTTTCTTAGAAGAATTCAATGTCCTAAATTAATATGTTTAAACTCATAACAGAACTATATTTGAATATTTTTCAATATAACTGATGTTTTCTTAATAGGATTATTTTAACAACTTAAATTGGTATTCATAATACTATTTGTAAATAACATCATTAAAAAAAATTGATATTATGTGTGTAACACATGTATAATATTATACATGTGTTTTGCTCATTAATAATTTAATTAGGCTTGTAAAATGTTAATATTGTGTAAGTTTTAGTTTTAAAAACACCTGTTCTGTACACGAGAAAATACATTTATATCATCAGAGAATTATTAAGTTATTCTTTTTATGCATTGGGTTAAATATTTTTATTGCTATGACCAACATAGACTGGCAAGTTAAAATATATCATGTTTCAAATAATATTTTATTTCGCATTAACCATTAAACAAAAATTAAATTTTCATTTATATTGTTTCAGATAAGAGACTTAAACAGGTGCACAGATTAGTGAGAAGAGAATTAAAAGTAATTAATAATAATTATAACAAAAAAAAAAAAAATAATAATAATAATAATAAAAATAGTTATTCACTTACAATTAGTTGGTGTTATAATATAATTATTTATGTAATGATTTTAACAACCAACAGATAAGTTTGAGCAATACTCAATTGTTCTTGAGTATGAGGCTGCTAAAAAGCTTAGTAGAGCATAGTTGTGGTGTTAATGATAACTTTTTTTTAAAATAAAAAAATCAATGGTATATAATAATTTATTAACTAGGAATTTTAACAATGTGTATACTACAATGCACATGTTTAGAACATTGTAAACCCGTACATTATACAATTTTTTTTTCTTACCTAATAATTTCTCAAGACTTAACATATTGTAAGCCTTGATTTTGGCAAACTACTCGTACATCGTACTTTTGTTGAATTAATATTATATTATGTAATTTCTTAAATTTAATGATAATACAAGAAACACAAGTGTTTTGTTTATTGCCAGTTGCACATTCCTCTTGCGACTGTAAAATTATATATACATTTTTTTTTTATCAATATTTAACATAATTTATTTCTATTATTTATGTTTTTTTATATCATTCATGTGTACTCTTCTACAATTATGTATATATATTGGAAAGTGGCAACTTTTGCATTTTATTTTCTTCTTTGTGTATGGTTTTTTTTTTTATGTACAATTGTGAACAAACATTTTAACTAGTAGGTTATAACTATGTTTTTATTTGTAATTTGTATTATGTATGTACAAAAAAATATATATATATATATAAAAAAAAAAACAAAAACAAATAAATCAACGTTACATGTATGTACGTATTAAAATAATATAATATGCGTGATATATTATTATGTATTCTTCATTGTTTTACTTTCAACTTCGAAAAATTCTGGAATGAATCATGACTGTTGTTCCTTAAAGTATTTGTAGGCGATCGAAAAATCCTTGTCACCCCATCCCTTCCGGGATATATGTGCGTACATGTCCACGGTTACGCGGGTCAAAGGCGTTTGAGTTTGCGTCCCTTCAGCTAGTGACTCGCCCAATCGCATGTCTTTCAGCAGCAAATCAGCTTTGAAACCGTTCTGTATAGACATGTAAGTTTTTAAACTAATTAAGTTAGACGTTTATGTTGGTCAGTTTTTGTTTAAAAACAGCTCAGGTCAAATATTTCACGTTCGAAAAATTTTTTGTCATGACTTCTGAGAAAATCAGTTTGGGGGGGGGGATATGAATCGTATAGGTTCTGTACTAAAGAAGGAGCATTAGTTATGTGATAGATAGGTGGAGTATCTAATGTAAAAAGGAATTAGATGCATTGCCGGCTTGAGTGTTTCGAGGATCTGTAGCAAATAAGTCAGATCGCCTATCAGATTGGGCCATAAATTGGTCTTGAAAAGCAAAAAAAAAAAGGTATATGTTTGTCATGTAAGACTGTATCTCAGCCCTACTTATGAACTACGAACTAAAAAATACTATTTTTATTTAATACATAATGTATTTTTCAATACAAAAAATAAATGTCACTAGGTATGTGCTAAATTTTTTAAAGGCATGCGATATATGTGGCCAGCTAATCGATCAGCTGTGGGCGAGATAGTAAAAAAAGACTAAAATAGAAATATTATTCTGTCTTTTAATTATTTTTTAGTTATAAAAACGGCGGTCGAAGAATGTTACTAATGTCATCCATGTAGGTAGGTAAATCATATTTTTTGCTAACTAGAATTCTAACTATCGACGATTATAGTATGTAGATTGTAGGTACCTCCTATAACGATATTTTTAAAATGTATAGAAGTAGATTAAAATTTTCTGAAAAACAAAAGTTTTAAACGTTGAAAAATTTGCCAAGTTAAGAGATTTAATTTGTCATAAAATGCAAAACTAATTTTATATCAGTATTTATTAATTACCGAGTAGATTATAAATTTTTAATTTTGGATGTTAGTCGTTACAGTACTTTTTTAGAATGCGTTTGGGGTTTTGAATTTTTAATAATTGTACAAATTGCAATTACGATTGTTGTAAAACTCTCGTAGAAAGTTTGAGTTTTCATTTTGAAAATGTTTTTTTCCACTTTCGAGTTAACAGTTACGGTGTTAGAAATCTTAAAAACCTTGTTTTTAACTAGTACTTTATAGTAGGTACCTATACTTAACGATTGCATTGGTAGTGATAAAGAAAATTAAATGTAAGCTTTTTGTTTGGTTAAATTATATATTAATATGTCTTGAGAGTGCCAAATGTGAAGACTATTACGGAGACAAGATTAACCTGAATCACTGAAATTTAGTTTGTACTCGCGCCTGGGATTATTATAAAAATTAAAAAATATGATCGCGAGAGGAAAGAATAATATATGTTTGTTACGCATTCGGCCTGCAGGATGAACGATTTTGTTAAGTTTTGGTGTTTTTAGTCCGTTAAAAAATATTGCTCCGACCAGCGTTAGAAAAGAATCCGAATGGAAAGACGGCGATTCATACCTGATAGCCGTTATTGCTTGGACTTGGCTTATCGACGGCTCCGGGCACGGGATTGTTGATTTCGGATGCCCAACACCGTCCTGTGCTTGTGTTGATAATAGACGCCAAAACCTTAGGTTCAACGCCCAACCTGGAAGAAAACGGCCCAGTAAGTGAGTTTAATGATAGGATTGCGATTGATGAAATCGTAATAATAATATATAATAACAACCAACGTGCTGTACTGCACCTGTTGTTCGTAGAATAAATGATTTTAATATGATTTGAAGTAGATATCAAAAGTCTGAAAAATTAACCTCAAACAGGGACGTGTTATGGGTAATATTAGAGTTAAATCGTTGAAATTAATTAAAATAACAAAATACACGCTGTTAAATGATGACATGTCTGGACACTAAACTGACGATCTCTGCACACAACAACAACGTTTAGGTCTACTCAAAATTTTTAGTAGTTTCCGTGCTGAAATGGTACTCGGTGGCTGGTACCTATCTAAATCTTTCTCTCAAAATTAGTGAGTTTTAACCGTAATTTATATAACATAAACAATTGATAATAATTATCTACGTCACATATTTATTCTAAGATTAATTATTTTTGTTTAGTTACATTTGTTACTAGTTAGGTACTTTTACATGTCTATATCAGTCCGTCTTGTAATGTGGTTATCGCAATGTATATACCTTCAAGGTTACACCTATCCAATGATAATTTTTTTCACATTTTTTAAAAATAAACACTATAGAATAATTGTCGAGTTAATTTAAGTAAATATTAAAAAATTGAATTATATATTAACTGCAGCTTTTCATTAAGTATTCAAATTGTTATACAACTATACAAGTTTGTAACACTTAGCAACTTTTTTTTTAATTTTGTTAAGTTGCAATAACATATTCATGTAGGAGGTAGCATTTTTAGTACTTTATAAAAATTTTTACTCATTTAAATATAAATGTACGATAATTTATTTAATGGTTAGCCAATGATTGTCTACAAATAATTTATGTAAATACATATTTGAATTTCGCGATATTTTAGTTATATTTAGCTAGAATTGCTAGAAAGCATTTATTGATATTATGCTTATTTAGATTTATACTACTTTAAAATGACTAAATATATTTTTATTTTCTAGTAGGACGACCTTAATTTTTAATCAGGAGATGCTGCGTAGAGTTCTGACACAGTACTCAGCTTGTCTAAAATTTAAGTCCTTATAATAATTAGTTAACCTAATCTACCTATAAAATTAGTATGAAACGATTTTTTTTTTTTATCAATAACTAGTCAGTATAGGCCTATGTTTTTTTTTAGAGCGAAGAAGTTCGCAAAACGTGAAAAATGTTGGCTATAGCCTATAGTAATCCACTAACTATAAAGATATAATTGCACGAGATTATAAGTGTAACTTGTATTACTTTCTTTGCATAATAAATCATTAACACATCAATATTATACATATACGTCTTATGCAACAGCAGCCGTTCGCTATTATGTGTATAAAATTAAATTAGTTGCTTAATACGAATAGTTGAGTGTAAATTATAAAATATTTAAACATTTCGTGCTATTGCTGGTATACGCCGCATGAACGCATAATATATAACATGCGTAAAGCCACAGAGTTCGCTGTATTTTATAACGATCTACTATTAATTAACATAATACCTGTAATAGGAATTCCGTCCGTATAATCGCTTTTACTGAGATGGTATAATATATAAATGGTACCTACCTAAATAATACTCGCCGAGAGACACCGAAATGATCTGAATCACATTACGAAAAAATACGAATTCAAACATTTATCATTGCCTCAACCCAATGAAACCTTAATTTATAGTAAACGCATTAAGCGTATAGGTACACTATTATTAATCTATACCTATACACTACACTATATTGTGTTCAACGGTAAAGGTAACATGAAATATTGTATCTCGAACTTCATTTGACTTTTTTTGTTTACTGCATAATAAAAGATCTTGTATTGAACTTATTTTTGAAAAATGTTTTAAAAATTGTTTACGTACAAATTTTTTTTTGAATTGTACATTTGTACCTATCTTTTATTTTTTTGAGAGCTTAAAATCGAATTAATAGAATTATTTTTTTAAACAACTTGACTTTAAAAGTTTTTTTTTTTTTATTTTAAAAATTAATTTATCGAAGGCGAATTGCAGTTTAAATTTATGCATGTACATATTATCGTATTTCTCAACTGTCTATCTAGAAATGTATTAAGTTTCATGTGATTTCTTTATTTGTTGAAATCTTAAATGTGATGTTTTATATGCGAAACTACACAGAACTGTAAAACTGTAGGTAGATTGTTAAAAAAATATAATAAATACAGTATTATGCATGAATCGTAACTAACTCACTTTCAATGAGTACATTTTTAAGATACAAAGTAATTCTATATAAGTCAATTTTGTTAAAAAAATAAATAATTTAATTTAAATTTCATCTCAAAAAAAGGGGAATAATTCAAAAACTTATTTGATGCGCACGCGTGGAAATTTTTTAAAAATAAGTCTAGGAAGTAAAAAAAATTTAAATAAAATCTAAGGTCAAGCGCTTGAAATGTTTCATTTTACTTTTATCGTTTAACACACTATAATAGTATAATATAATATATATTATAATATTATAACTACGAGCACTAAATAAGATCATAATTATTCACTACCTACTTCCGGTATCTTTAGGAACGCGGTAAACAAGGTTTTTATATACAATACATCGAATATATACCAGCCTACCAGACTTCTTATAACTAATAGTAATTTAAAAATAAATCTTATAAAAAAAAAAAAACGGTAGAAACGTACTTAATGCCCAAGTTCATTGCTTCCGACAACGCCGCCATGGTCATACCAAGTATCATGTTGTTGCATATTTTGGCGATCAGCCCCGAACCGGCTGGGCCACAGTGCACCCATCGGGACCCCATGCATCTGAATAGGTGTTCGGCTTCTTTGAACGTGCTCTCGTCTCCGCCAACCATGAATGTCAGTGTGCCGTTCTCTGCACCCACCACTCCTGTATCGAAATTACGATTATGAATGATGACGATAACAATGTATTATTAGATATCGATTTGTTTACTTAGCTTAATTTATCATTACTCATCATCGCTAACGGGTAACTCGGGTCTCAGAATGAAAAATACACATAATTTTGTATTTTTGCCACTGTGAGTTTTGAGTTAAAATACTACATACGTACGAAATGATTCCTCTATTATAGAAATCGTACTGGCCGTTGTATAATATAAAAATGAGAATTTAATACCGACGTCGCCTGTCAGTGGCGTAGATATCTTTTTATAGGCAGAGCATCGACATTTCGTCAAACAATAACAACAAGTATAATATGATATGTAACGTATACATAGTTTTGTAAACGGGCTTTTTGGTATCCACATCAGCTTCTCGCACTTATAATCGTAATAATAATAATAATAATAATGATAATAATAACAAATATAAATACCTCCTGACACGGGTGCTCCCAAAAATTTACAACCCTTCTTCTGGGCCATTTCTGACACTTTTTTAGAGCTCTCCGGACTGATTGTACTACAGTCCACGAATAACTGTTCAGGTTTCGAAGAACTAATATACATAAAAAAAAAAAAAAAACTGCCTAAATACAAAATACTAACATAGTGACAGTAGTTAAGAAATTAACTAGTTCTAGTGATTATTTTAGTAGTATAGATGATTGCCTTTCTTTTTCTTTTTTTTTTTTAAGTAATAGAAAACAACAATAAATTGTTTCTACTTAATTTAAAACGCGACTAAACAATTTAGAGGTATAAATATCCCGTGACATTCACATTTGTCTTACTAAACTTATTTAAGTTACTTTGGTCTTTGGCCTCAGTGTATAGTTATGAAAGGTAATCAAAATATACGTTACATCGAACCATGTTTTTTTTTCAAGAAAAGTCTAGAAACTTGTATGGTAATAATGTAAAAAAATAAGTTATTATGTGTAATTTTTAATAAAAAATTTTTTCTAAAAATTATATTACATTACTTCTTGACTTATGACCCAATGAAACTTACTTTCTGATTGTCCCTCGCAAGTTGTCATATACTTAATAGTCTATACTTATTATATTATGTTTACATCGGATTTATCATTGTTAAAATAGTATATCGAATTGCGTAGATTTTTATGTGATTTTAGTTTTATCTTAGCGATTTAAATATTCCATAATTCCATAATCATAAAATTTGATTTTTACATCAAATGATAAAAAACGAAATTGGTTACTAGTAGTTTTTTTTATTAACTTTTTCGTTTTTTTAAAGTATATATTTATTGTAACTGTTAGGATTTTATTCTACTGTTTTCTAGCGAAAAATAAACTTTGATAAAATTTAATTATATCATTTGTATATTAATGTAAAAATGAAATTTTTGTGTTCATCAGATTTTGAGCAGAGCGACGAACCGATGATGCATTAGATTTTACATGATACGTGGTTTTTTGTGTCTGAGGATACTTTTTATCAAACAAATTATTCAATATTATTACTAGGTAAATAGTTGATTTTTTTTCGATTTATGTTGATAACATTTTTATTATTAGTTCGAAATGCTTAAAAATGTAATAGAACATTTTTCATAATCTTTCCTAACTAGAATTTAAAAATAAAAAGTTTAAAACTACTTTACGTATTTTCAGAAACGTTTGAAAATACGATTTTAGTTAGGTATTTTGTTGTAACTCGAAAAAGAAGAAAAATACTAAGCGGTGGGACTTGAAACGCTTTATTATTATTTACCAACATATATATATTATTATTATTATACAATTATATGTATTTTATTATATATGTAATTTAATGTTCAAAATATTTAGATTAGTTTTAAGTTATTTTTTTTTCGCTTGAATCTATATCCACATCATTACATTGTTCTACGGTAGGATTATTTTATTGAGACATCGAGTTTTAAGTTAATAAATAATAACAATAGTATTTTATGATGGTTAATAATATAGGTATGCGGTGTTTTTAGCAATAATTAGTTAAAAAATAATTTAATATTTAATATAAAATATGCTCAGAAATAGTGGCGGTCAAACCGGGGGGGGGGGGGAGAGGGGGGATAGATCCCCCCCATGAAAATTTCTTTAATATTTATAACAATTACATTTATGTATATCGTACTATTTGTACTATAATATAATATTAAATATTAATGTAATACATTTTGTTTTAATTTTTTAAGAGCGTATATTATTATTATATAGATTCTAGACTCATTCTAGGAACAAGGCTGTTATTATTAATTATTATTAATACTTATTAATTAATTGCTTATACAAAATATGCGGGAATTACCCAGATCGGTGATCGTGAATATTCAATAACAACACACTCCTCCCTTGCCCAGCCCATCAGCCGAAACGTTTTAATACAATAATACGTAGCTATTATCATTATAGTTAGCCAATTCATCGATTATTATTATTTATTACATTAATTGTCAGAATATTTTGTTACGCAGACCACAGTGTTTTGTGTTTTGGCTTTCGTAGTTTTGTACTCGTCAGTCGTCACTCGTGTCTCATACAGTCATACAGACCATACTGTGTCGCGCTTGATACATATTTATATTGTCTGCAAGTTTACTGTAAATTGTAATAGATATTGTCTATAGTCTATTTTATATATATAGTTATAAATAAAGTACTAATTTACCTTAATTAAAAAAATTGATATTAGTCTTAACCATAATAGCATATTACTGCATATTAAAAAATTAGCCACATCCCCCCTCCCATGACAAAATCATTTGACCGCCACTGGGCTGATAGGTACATGGACTCCTGTTCAGTATCGTTTTTCGTATGCAATTATTTATCGCATTTAATATTTATTACAGTGGTCTACATTATACGTAATGGTTAGATACACTCGAAACCTACTACACAGCAGAATGAATTCCTCTATTTTTTTTTTTTTTTTTGAAATTTATTATTAATTTTATATTTTTATCATTTTTTTGCAATTATTTGTAACACATTTTTTTTTTCTTAAATTTTTGGAACATCTGAATCTGTAGTTTAATAATCCGTGTATAACGATATATCTAGATTCACAGTGAGCCGTAAATTATATTAAAGTGAATTCTCACTTGAGCAGTGTCGTGTACGCCAAAAGAACGTGTTGGCTTTCTGGCAACATGGTGATCACTGCATCCGAGGATTCGGCCACTTGCTGCACCGTGTCCGCGGTCTCGGCCCCGTCCAGGCTCCTAAACAAGTTCATCCGTTCGGCTGAAACGTCGTTGCCAATTACCCCGTAACCCTGTTAAGACATTTACGGAATAAATTATTCAAATAGTTTTTATAGTTATTTTATTATAATAATATGGCGATGCAAAGTGTAGGTTTTAGTTTTGTAGTGTAAACAGAAATCTTAACACTAATAAACAAGGGTGCCATTTGGGGGGGGGAGGGGGAGGAGGAAGGTGTGCACTTGTAATTTTTTTTTTAAAATTGGCCTAGGTTTTAATACTTATCTAATTGATACTATGGCCTTATCACCTTGGTCTAACAATCTTTAATTGTGCATGTATCGCTTTTCACTACTAATTATAAATAATATTATAGTGTTCTTTGATTAAAATTATTTCCCATTTCATTATTTTATATTTATATTTATATTTAATATAAATTGTAAAGGTCGTTATAATAATAAACTATTATGTTTCAAGTTGTTTATTATTTCAATTGCATTACACGCTTAAACGCTTTAGTCATGACTTCAGATTTGAATAATTAATTTGTATTTTCCTTTTTGTTTGATGTTTAACCTAATTTAAAATATAGGTAACTATTAATTAAATGTATACCTATATAAAATTAATTGAATATAAACATTCAAAAATAATAAAAGCTGAGTAATAAGGTACCTACCTAAAATTTAAATAATTTATATTTAATTTATTGATTTATATATTATATGAATGAAAAATGTTTTGGACTAAAAAATTCTATAGAAAAAATACGTGAAACGTTTTTTTAACGATTGGCTAGATGATGTGTAAAAATTGGCCTCTAACACTGTTTACATGCCCTTAAAAAATCTAAAATGGTGTCTCTGCTTACGAAACTCTGTGAAGATCCCTCAGAACATTATTGCATTATTGTATACTGTGCATTATTGTCTTGTCCTATTACAATTAAGTTTTGTAGTATCATTTTGTACTATTTAATTATTATTCATCAACTGGGATCATTTTTGTTTGGATTAGCGATTATTTGCAAAGCTCAAAATTGTAAAATTATGATTAAGATCCACTACGTCATAAAATCGTCTTAAAATTTTATGCTTGTATATCATATAAAATATATAAAGTTAACCGTTGTTTATATTGAAAAAATAGTTAACAATTTTACAAGTATATCATCAACTTTTATAAAAGCCCACGATAAACTTTTATTAGCTTTTAAATTTTATTCTGATAAATTGTATTGGTATCGTTGAATTGCAAAATAAAAATATCATTCTATTTTTTTTTTTCATTAGCTTTTAATGAAAACCTATTACAGTTCAAACTATGATATTTTCATTAAAATATTAAATTATATACTTGGTAATTACATAAAATAGCTATTAGGCTGTATGGTTTGTAATGTTTGTATATTATTATTTATTCATAACTGAAAAAGAGCAAAAAAATAATAACAAAGATAATTTTATCTAAATTATAATGATTTAAGTACATAAATAGGTTGGATATTGGAAATCGGATTTAGATAAAAGTTTAGGTGGACGTTGAGAAGGGAAAGAAGAAGGTTTAATAATGTTCTTATTTTGGTTATAAGACTGGAAAATGTATGGAAAATACTGTTTTTAGATTAAGCTGCAGTTATGTTAGTATACGATGGGTTCGAATTAGATTTGGTGTCGTGACGATGGCTGCGAGGCTCTTGTGCTTGAGGTTTTTTTTTGTTTGGTTTTATTTTTGATTCGATTAATTTTTTGCGAGATGGACATCTTTTGTAGGGGCAGTGTGGTCACATTTAGACGGGAGAATTCGGTTTTTAATGGTGTAAATGCCAGTTTAACGTAAAAAAGTGGTATAGTAATCGTTGTTTTTTTTATATTGACCACAGGTAAAACCGAATGCCTTAGCTCCGCCAGAGCATCTGAGATATTAAATAATATTGTAGAATGGTAGAGATAACGAATTTATTACCTTATATCGGTGCATATAGTGAAGAAGGAAGGTATGAAACTCTGCACCAGTACTTTCTAGATACTTCAATATTGTAGAGAAGGTTAGGTGACTATAGATAGGAGCGGAATATTAAAAATGATGGTGTGGACTTGTACGAAAAATTATTAATACCCATGAGCTCTATTATTTTTTTGTGGGATTCTGAAATATCGCTGACGTTCTTTAAATAGATCGCCGGCATGCGAACGGACTTGGGTGCGTTCTTGATGGAAGTTACGCTAGAGCTGTTTACGCTCAACTATATTGTTATTGAACGAAAATATGTCAGATTCAGTCTCACAGCCATCTGTCGTCGACAAAACAGCAAAACGATTATGTGAAACGAAAGTTTTGATTTTTTCCCCGCGTGTAAAGGAGAGCTGAAATGTCAAGACAAATTCCGGTTTGAATTCGTTATAAGAGATGATTGAGGCGATGACATGATATAAATGTCCGATATACGGCGTTACATACCTACCTATTAAATGTTATGCAATAACAAAATGAAATATTGTCACTATAAGACGTTAGAAGTGTTAGAACGATACGGAGCGCAATAACACAGGCGCGCTCTCAATGGTAGCAGAAACCGTAGTGTATTCCTAATATAAATTCTTATAAGTTATAAAGTATCTAAATAATAATAATAATAATAATAATAATAACAATAATAATAAATTATAAATTACTTTTTTTCACAGCAATTTGGCAATATATTAAGACAAAAATCAAATAAGTTGGAATAAAATTTATTTTTAAACAAGTGTGTGTGTGAAGGACGATCTCTTTTGCAGTACCTAATACAATGAACAGCGAAATCGGAGTGATGGTTTTGCATCATTATTGAGTCTCAATCGGGGTCCATAATAAATTTTACTTGACGTGACAACTCATACGCGCTACGTCAATTTCGGTATTGAATATTTAAACTGTCGCTAGCTTTACGAGTCTAAAATCTACATATACATATAATATATTCGATTTACTCATTTATATATAGGTTTGGTTTAAAACTACATATTGTTATTATTTACCGCTCTCGCTCTTTTTTGTCGGCTCCACATGCGCACGTGTTTATACTTAATATTTTATGTTTATTTTTGACTGCGCTTCAGTCAATTAGCCATTCTGATTTTATGCACAAACCGATTGTATTATTAATTTATGTCATTACCAGAATATAATATATACATATGTATGTACAAAAGGCGTTTTGTCAAAAAGGAGCTGTGTGGTTTTCTCTTTTGACTTGTTACATTTAATTATTCGATGGGCTTGTGTGGTTTTCAAAACCTTTAAATTATTTTGTTCTGACGTAGACAGGTCTTTATAGCGGCGAGGAAACAAAGAGCGATGTCTACCCATTTAGAAAACGGACAAATAATTCTTAAATAATAAATATATTTATTAAATTTTGTTTGTTGTATCATATCAAATACAGATTGTGAATGCTTCTAAAATAATAATAATAATAAAATAAGATGTTTATTTTATAAGTTTGAATGTCATAACTCATAAATCATAATAATATTACACTATATAATATATGTTTTAATGCTAGTCAAAATCTCTTTTTTTATACATTTATACCGTTGTAGTATTCTTAGAATAGACTAGTTTCGAACCGTGCACGTGGCGGTCCATTCAGTAAACACCCTAACACAGTATAAAAATAAATTTGAGTTGACGTTTCGATTTTCTGGGTGCGGTGTGCTTGGAGAATTTGAAAGTTAACGTGGATTATCGTTGCGTTATGAGACGCCCCTTGCCGTCCATATCTTTGTTTTATTTTATTTTTCCGTAGTCATCGTCGCGTAATCGTATGGTTGTGATAAAAAACCGTTGAGCGAATTAGCCACTTTCCCTACATTATTTATTGAAAATGTTATTGACTTGTTTTCGTGGACAAAAAACAAAAATATTGATTTAATGCAATGTTTCTCAACCAGTGTTTTGCGACACATAGGTGTGTCGTCGAATCAGTCCAATGTGTCATGAAGTATATTAAATAACACAAAACATACAAACATTTTTGAAACGGTTTACAAAAACTTAAAAGTATTTGATATAATTTTATGACGATTAAAAATAATTTATCTGTTATCGACGTATTTTACATATTTTGTATTATTAATTAAAATTAAATATTACCCAGTTTTTATTTTTTTTATTGTACGTTACAAAGTGACGTAGGTATCACAGGTTAATACGTTTTGCATATCATGTATACTCGTGTATATTATATTTTTTTTTGTTTTTAGATTTTAACACACATTATACATTTTTTACAGTGTAGATAAAATAAAATAAGAGAGGGGTCCAAGAGGGTGTAGTGCTATATTTTTCAACATCTCCCCGACCTAAAGACTCGAGCCTCGTCACTGGAGTACGTACCTACTCACTTATAATTATTAAAATATACAGCTATTTACACTATAATTTGCATAATCTATTTTAATACAGTTTTTTTTTTCATTTAATATTTAATTTAATATAACTGTGTGCTTATACTATATTATACTTTATAGTACATGTAAGGTATCACTGGCGTAGCCAGGATTTTTTTTCGGAGGGGGCTGATCAATTTTTACACATCAGTGGTATGCCATTGTATAGTATTGATTTAATGCTATTTTTGGTTTTCCAAAGACAACCTAACAACCTATAACATTTTGAAGTGTTTAATTTTGAATTACATAGTTCAAACAAAAAATATTGGTTTGGTTGGGAGGGTTTGTGTTCACCTGTTCTGGACGTTCTGGTATTCAAGTTAGTCTATAAGTACATATTAGGTTTATTATAAAGTGGTGCAGTAAACTTTCTACATAATTGATGCGAATGGTCAGCTATCTTCAACGCTGTCATCAACAGGCAATTATTTATTAAGCTATTTTTGTTTATTTATTTTGTTTGGAACTTTCAGTCTGCAGCATATTGTCCTACTTTCATCGACTTCGGTCGTTTTCCCAGTCGCGATCGTATTATACAAAGAATATAATGACATTACAATTATTGTACTGCACGCACATAAAATATTTAACATTTATCCCGTGACCTTTGTGTTTCGTTACCCGTCAAATTATAATTGCAAATTGTCCGCAACTCCGTTTACTTTCCGTATAGACTTTTTGTACGCGTTAAATTATTGAATACTATTGTATTTGATCTCGTACGGTATGAATTGTATCGTATTATTATAAATTACAGTACGCCTTCATTCCACTATGTAATTTTTTTTTTATAAAAGACGCATTGCATATTATACATTATTAGGACGTATTTAATATTAAAAATATACTTTTGTTATGAATCACACGTTAACAATAAGTTTAATATAATACCATTATACTATGTTATTAGTTATTACTTGTTTAATTAAAGTGATGTGTTTTGATATGAAATTGTATAGTTCGATTCTAAATAGGTAATTAGGTTTAAATAGGTTTTTTTTTGGAAAAAAAGTTTAAACAGATAATAATAATAATAATACAAAAAAAAACATCGAAAATACTCGTTTCAGTGCATAAAAAATATTTCATTTATAATTTTTCTTGTACATTTCTGATGGTTCCGCAATCCTCTTAGTTCTCACTCATAAAAACACTTTAAGCACTTATAGTGATCTATTACAATAAAATAGGAGCACACATTTTGATACAGGTGTAAATATACTAAATATTTATTTGTGTCATTCAACTCAATTTTATTACAGAATCAACAGTATTTTATGTTATAACTTATAAGTCATGTATCAGTGGTATTAAAAATCTTTATTAACCTAATTTAATTTATATTCGTTAAATACCTATTTCAAAACTAAAATATGATAATATAAAAATTTATAATTGTAATGAATTTTTATTATATAATTATAAGGTGGGGCATAAAATATGCATCGGTTTTGAAGGGCTGTAGAATAAAAACTAATGAAGTTACAGAAATAAAGTTTATGTTTTTCGGTTCAGTGTATCTAGTTTTTTTTTTACATTAAGTTTTAAATATTACATTTCTAAGATGACGGCCATCGGCAGCGATGCATTCTGTAAGCGATTCCGGTAGTTTTCAACCACTCGTTGGCACATTGGGATGGGTATAATCGTAACTTCTTCTCTGATTCTCTCTTTAAACTTTTTTAAGGCGAGAGAACGATTTTTAAAAATTTTTAAATTACAAATGGCAAATACTCGAGAGATCAGGCGTTCTGGGAACATTTGTCGTAGTTTCTTCATGAAATTAGAGTACATTTTTTTCTTTTATCATCTTTAAAACTTAATGTAAAAAACTAGATGCAATACTGAATAGAAAAATATATACCTTATTTTTGTAAGTTCAATATTTTTCCTGTAGTTTTACTATGTACATCAGGTATAAAATTATATTTTTTAGAAATGTAGTAGATACATTTACCTATGTATATAAATTTATTAAAGTTTTGCTATTGTGTTTGTGTCTTTTAGCTTTCAAGTCATAAAAAAAGTGTTATAGTCGGGAAATTAAAGGGAAAAAAATAACAATTTAGATAACGTAAAAAAATTGAATAAAATGCTTAAAATTATAAGAAAATATACTTAAAAACGTGAATATTGTTGTGATTTCATTTATTTGTAAATAAATAACGGCACAACAAACTGAATTTGAATATATTGAAAACTTGAGGAAATATTGATTGTTTTTTCTTATCTTGAGCACAGAGAAGAGTAAAAGTATAAAAATAAAATATTGTTGGATTTCTACGAATCTTGGTTGATATTACAAATTTGTGTGAGATCTATTGTACATAAATAACTAAAATGAATGACGATGATGAAAATTCACAGTACGAATTTTTAGAGTAATATTCTTGTAACACCAAGGAGTGATGATAATACCAACTAAAGAATAAAAACCAATAGGTGCTATGAATAATTGGATGTCAATATTACGTTAATATATTATTATCGTATTATGTGTCAAGAATTTTCTCAATATATAAATTTTATATAATGGATAAATTGGATTTAAATTTATTAATAAACAGCAAAAAAGTAGATTGTTCTCAAAAAATAGATAAGAAATTTTTACGGTGAAATCAAATTTCAAAGTCTAGTTTTGGTGGTACGATTGTGTATTTTTTGCTGTGTAAATATGTGACTAAATTAGTGTATACACTATAAATTAGCAGTTAGTTTGAAAAAAATCATTCTAATATTTTATCTAGTGGTTTCAAACTTATTTTTATGGTATACAATTATTAGTTAAATAATTTTAAAAAAATATTTCAAGATTTATGTGATGTTTGTTTTTAACAGTTAATAAATATCTAAAATAAACATCCTTAACGTAAAATGAAAACTTATATGTAGACACAATCGAGGCTACGGTACCTACCCCGTTTCCTTACCACATTAAAAAATGTTTTTTCTCACATTACACAAACTTAGAAATTTAACAGTCATTTTTTTTTTTTTTATCATTATTATAATATTAATAATATAGCATTATAGCTCAAACAATTGCGATAAAGGGCGAGATACTTAAAGCATATTTTAACTGTAGGTAGTCAAAACTTTTTTCCGAACATTCCATTTTTATTAAAAGTTTTGATTAACTTATTGGTGTCAAGCATAAAGATCGAAAGTACATTTTTTCTCTAAAAACAACTAAGAATTATTTGTAAAACGCTACCGTTGAAGATAGACTAACCGATTTAGCACTACTTAGTGTACATAGAAATATTCACGTCGATTCTGAGGTAGTTATATCAACCATTTTTATAAAAAAAAAAAAAATAAAAATTTAATATTTGTACTGTAAAATTAAATTTTATTTTATACTATGTATTATGCGTATTTAAATAATTATTAACAAATCTTATTAATTTATGCATGAGTGCTTAAAATAAATATTTTTAATTATTTTAAAGCATTTATCAAATGTTCGTTATTTTATATAATACTTACTAAAATTTGTTCTAGGTACGGCCTTGGACATAATTATTTGAATATTGTTTAATTTTACTGTATATGTATAGTATATACGATTGATAAACAATAATAATTAATATATGCGAACATAAATTGTGGTTTTTCTATATACTGTTTCTTCATTTATTTCGTTTATATTCGTTAATGTTGTGCGACTATAATACATACTTATATGAATATAAATTCACAATACACTAAACAACTATATATGATCAAAGATTGTATGCCAATAACTTATAATACATAAAACAAAAAAATAATTAAAAAAATCTATAAAAAATAACATATATTTTAAGATCTACAGAATTCCAGTAATTAGTAGTAAAAATTATTTTTTTATCTTATACAATATATTTTATACACAAGGATAGTTTGTAATAATTATATTAGTGAACACGTTTTTTTTTCAAATTTCTATTATACTTCACTAATTATTACATTTTTGTTAATCTAAAATGTGATAGTTATTTTTATTTTGGATTTCTTTAGTTTTGATTTCAAATATTTTAATTATTGGGCATAAAGTTTTTGATCATAATTATACATAATGTAATTGTGATTTGTTGATATGTAGTTATATAAATAGTGAAAAATGTGTATAATATTCTGCGATGTTTTTTGAACACCGTTACTAAAAGCTTTATTTGTTGTTATCTGTAATATCTTTTGCATAGGTCGATATCATACATTTTTTATGTTGTGTATAAATATCATGTTTTTTTTAATAAAGTTGTTTTTAATTGCATAATTTTTAAGTCGTATTTGAAGTTTTTGTTTACTTTAAAGTGCATATTTTACAATGTTTTAGGAAAAATATGCACTTTTTCCAGCTTTACTTACTACGTTTGGAGTGGCGTGACAGCGTTTGATGGATAAAAAAAGAATAAAATATATTACTAAATCTGAGTTCTTAGGTCAGTGTGGTGATGTAGGTACACTATGTCGAGTCATCTTGAAATGAGTGTGTTTATTATATATAACTATATAAGTATAATTCGTGACGGTTAGATAATATAATGGACAATGGTGTATTACAAAAATTATATAACAGTGTACGTATGTTGTTTACACTCCTTAGGTGTACGTAACGTAGTTTTTTCACAAACGTTTTCAATATTAAAATATTATATCAAACAAAAATCAATAATAATAATAATAATAATTATGATATTTACGTTTTTCAATAAGTTTTTCGCCATCGGAATTCCCATGTTTCCCAGCCCGACGAAGCCGACATTTGATTTCCATCGTTTGTTCTCTTCTAAACACACACACATACGTCGTTTTAAACAAAATTAATATAAACCGTTGGCGTGCGTAGACTCAATAATTTTAGGATATTTCTCAAGTTATTATTGTAAAACTGCTAAAATTCAAATCGCATCAATCTAGAAGATAGTATTATTCTTTCAAAATCATTAGTATCACATGATATCATGTACCTACTTAACTTATTATCATAATATTATAATTTATAACAAAAAAAATTTCATAGTTTTTAAAGTCATTTTTTTTTTTTTTTTTAATTTGGCGCTTAGTAGACTAAAAACGTGTTATATGACGTCGACACGTCATATATTATGATGTTATCTAAATAAAATTTAATTAATATTCAGAAAAGACTAAGTACTAGATACAAAGCATCACGCGACGCCTTGTTTATAAAGTTATTATTTTATTTGTACGTTTAATTATAAGCGTTTAAACTCAACAAGATCATTTCCGATTTATTCTTTACTGTGTAAAGATGTTTCACGTGTGTCAAACAGAAAAATATAATTTTGGCTAATGATCCGTTATTTATTTAATATAATTATAATATTATGTTATGTCGTCGGATAAGAATTTTTATTTGGCTAGTTTAAAATCACTGTGTACTTATATAACTCTACAAGTAGGTATCTCATGTCCACGAAGTTGGGCCATGACTTTGTTTAAGCGATTTAAAAAAAGTGTCAATATTTTGAAAGTTAATTGTGAACAATTGCAAAGAACTGAAAATTAACTTTCAAAAAAAGTTACTAAAACATAATATTATTAATTTATTAAAATTGTAACTCATGAGCCCGCTTAAAGGAAATCGATTTTATTGTAAATAATTTAATTGTTCGATTTAATGTTAAAAATAATAATTAAAAAATAAATAAATATTGATTTGTAAAATATTCTAAAAGCAATTTTGTAATTTTTTTAAATGAACTTAGTTTCCTATCCTGTACAGCGGTTGTATTGGTGGTTTATTTATTATTTATATATAACTGTTGAACATGTGCGATGTGCCTATTCTTGGCTCTTGGTTTTTATTTTTATAAAACTACTAAGTAAATGAACTTCTCTGAAATATAATCATATGGATTACGTGCTGGGTGGTAGTTTTATCGGTGGGAGAGGGAGGATGTGAGTGCGTGTGTAATATTTTACACCTCTTTTATAGTTATGTGATTATATTTTCCAGGTTACGCTGCTATACTGTTGTGCCTTATATTGTTATCGCGTTAAAATAATAATTTATTTTTGACAGGTTACCTGTTTTAGAAGTGTGTAAAATAAAAAAATCTATTTACTTTAATAATTTGTCTACTGAAATAATGTTTATAAATTATTTACATTATGCATAGGGTATTACTCGTATGTTTTTGTGTGTTGAGTATATTATGTCGGATTTTAAAAATACGTTTTATAATTTTTCTTAATCGTTGGATTATTTATGTATAGGCGTGATACTGTGACGTTGAATGCGTTGCATGTACCTATATGCTTTTCGATAAATATGTTTATAATTAAAAACTAAACGATTGCGTTTATGAGAGATTATTAGTATGCAGAGCATCATAGTCGGTCAGGTCACAAGTCATTAAATTATACACATATTATACGAAATATATTTTACAATTTAGTGCGAGTTTTAATTCTACAGAATGATTATAATGTTATACCTAATAGAGTTTATAGTTGCATAATATTATTAACATTGAAATAAGTAACGTTTTAGTACATTTGAATAAACAGAATATAAAACTTATAAAAAGTGACGTGATGTTTTATCATATGCTCCAAGATGTTTTAGTATAGGATTCATAAAATACTGCGTTTACGTATTTCGTAGAAATTTTATTGAGGCCTACTGTAGTGCAAGATGAGAACTATCCTGCAGCTATCTTGAAAATTTTAAGTATTTGATTGAATGGTTAACATTTTTTGTACAGTAATTTCAAGAAATTGTTTTACTTTTAATAAATAAAAAAAAAAAAAACTAAGCGTCTAAGAATTGTGAAAAAATGTTATTGATTGTTGTCAACGCACATTCAAATTCTACAATGAATATCGTAAATTATATAAAAGATAATAATAGTTATCTGATACGTTATAATAAATGTCATGTTTCTGTTGTCAAATGTTATTCTTTTTACTACACTATTGCACTCTGTATAGCAATTATTTTTCTAATTTTTAACTGTGTACATTTCTATGATTTATTAATAATGTTTTTTTCGTATAGAATCACCACTTCCGGCAAATTTCGATTGTCAGATTTTCCCTTTCTGCTTATACACATTTAACTGTATAATATTATAATATTATACGTTTGATAGATTTTATAATAAAGTATATCAATTCTCAGATAACTGTTAGTTGCGTATGGGATAACTGATAATTATATATAGTAAGTAAGAGTGTAGGACGAAACTACCATTAGCAACGTATTTAAACCGATAAACATCAATCTACTGTATATATTATAATTTATATGATATGGTATAACAAAAATAACTGATATAGTTGAGAAGCTATTAATAAAACAATTTTTTTTAATCATTTAAAAAAATATATTTAATTATCATGATTATTGCTAATTGTAGTTTATTAAACAAAAATGGTTTATATTAATAAAAATGTAAGTTATTACGTAAATTATTTAATTACATGAGTTATTTTTTTTAAACCATGTATAAATTAACTTTCGATAATATAACAATAATGAATCGTACGAATAATAAGGTTAAAGGTACTCATATAGTCATATGTTACCAAACATTAGGTACCTGTGCACCAACTACATTTAGCAGTCTTAAAAGGTGGTATATAGTCAACAAGTTAAAATGTTGTTTTTTCAATCTTTTTAGTGTTACCAGTGCTGGCTAATGTTCTTGTTAAATAACTTCATTAGTTTTATAGGTAGTATGCATTGACCATTGTAAATTGTAATAACTTGGTATTTTCCAATTTGAAAAATGATACGTTATATTTTCGTGTTTATGTATCATAAAATTACCTGTGCTTAATTAATTAATAATTAACTTTTTTATTTAATTGAGCTGTATTTATAATGATTTTTAATAAAAACAAACTAATAAATATTCATTAATTTAATAATTTAGTTGACACAAGCGTTTAATTGCCTAGGTCCCTACAGTTATGAAGTGTGATAAAAAAAAGCTAGTTGAATGGATTTTAACAAAATTTTCAGTTATTAATTATTATTATTAAAAAAAAAAAAAAACAAAATGAAAGTAGTAAAAATTACTATGTGTGATTCATTTGGGTTTGTAATATCTAAATATTAAATTATACTGTTTGTTTTGATTTTAATCTGTATACATAAAATACAATTATGTGTGTATCTTAAATTGGTAAACGTGCATTAGTAATTATTATCGTAACAGAGCGGTGACGAGGAGGGTGATTGTGGGTTTTAAGATACCTCAATTTTTATTTAATCCCCTTTTTTCGTAAATTTTAACATGTTTGCTAGGTATCTGAAAAATATCACTTAATAGGTTAATAATTCTAGCACATTAAAAACTGGGCTTCACATTCATATCCAGTGGCGCCGAAGCATAAAGACATGTGTATGGCGTACACGGTAAATGACGATATTATCGGATTGCTGTGTAGTAATAGAGTCGATTTTATAAGTCCGTGGTTCTCAACCGGTGTGTCGCCGAGTAAGTCCAAATAAAGGTTGAGAACCACTGTTTTAAGTTAAAGTGTGCAGCATAAATTTGGTTTTGTTCTTATAACGTAGTTGTGGTGATGCATGGTTACGGTCATGGTCACTGTTGTGGTCCGTAACCGAACCTATCGGCCTTGAGATTGGAAATTGTTGTTCACGGGCTATAAATAGAACAACTTCGGGGGATTCGGTGTTAATTTTTGAAGGCCGTAGTTCTTAAAAAATGTTTTCATACTCAAGTTATAATAATCATAATTCATAATAATATTATGAGAACGGTTGTGGCGCAGCGTATCGTCGTTATTCGTTTACAACATGATGAGAGCTCATTGTCAAGGCTCTGGAAATTATCTTCTCTTTTCTCAAATTGTTACTAATGCTTATAATATTGGCAGATTTTAACTCCGCTCACGATTATATTTTTTATTTTGTGATTTCGGTCCAAACTGTACAATGTAATTTCATTGATGTGTGGGACAAGAGTGGATTTCCTGTCACAACAACCAAATATGTTGTGATGTTGTAATAATATTACTTGTTTGTTGTTACAACGATATTAATAATTATGGTATTGAATACTGTTCGATTGCATGATAATTTTTCTAAATTTTTCTTTTGTTTTTAGATTATAAGAAATAATTTTAAATGGAATAGTTATGACAAATAATAAATCCTATTACAATTGTCTGTAGTTCATTTTTTGAAAAATCGTCATTAGAATTATATTACAATAATTCGTATGGGATTGAAAAAATAAGTTTTATGAAGATTTGATTTGTGTGTGACTCGAATATTTGTAAGACTTGTCCATATTGGAAATTATTTATTTAATATAATTTTTAACGTTAAGTATTCAAAGCGCTTAAATATTTAATAACAATTATCTATACTGTTGAAATAAAATTATAATTTTTACAATCAAATTTTACATAATTTGTTATATGTAGGTGTAGGTATCTATTATATATTTTGTCAATGCTTATTGAATATTGAATCGTTGTTTACGTAATAAAGTATCGATTATGATTGATAGTTTGACTACATTATTAGCATTGATTTGCGTCAATTGGTGCTAAAATTTATATATTTGATCAATGATAATAATATAAGCTAATAAATAGTAGACATTAATAAATAATAATCATGATTCATGGACTATTGATACAAAGTATAATTAATATGTGATTATTTTAATATTAAATAATCTTCAAAAAAAGCTTTAGTTTTTTTTTATTTTATTGTTATTTTTTCATATTCAAATTCCTAACAAATTCTACATTATTTAAAAGTTTTAAAAAAAAAATTAATTTTTAATTTTGTATTCTGGAGCAGAATATTTTTCTAAAAATTTGAATAATATAAAAAAAATCGAATTTTGAACGAATTAATTATTTATAATTTATAACTTAAAAGCAAGTACCTATTTAAAGCTTAGATAAGTGAAGCAGTCGAGAATATTTTGATGAGATGGCTCTATGCCCCTCGATATAAAATTAAAAATTCGTGTTATTGTCATTCAAAAAGTAATCAACTTGAAAAAGAATGAAAATTATAAATTCGTTTTTCAAAATATTAATTTGTACAATAACCATAAATGATGTAAAAAAAATATTTTTTATAACGTACATATTTTTCAGAATAATTTTAACCAGTAAACGCTATGTAAAATAATCACTCTGCCCTTACATTAATATTTACGATAAAGAGAGTCCTGTAAGAAAGTGGATGTAGGTGTTGTAATATTAAATTAAATGAGATGTTGGTATATAATGACCAACAGACATTTTTCTAGCCAATTATCAATACGTGTTTTATAATTATATTATAACATAATTTTTGGATAATATTACTATTTCGTGTTAGTTTTTAAAATTCCAGGGGGAAAATTCCTCATCTTGCTCCTTTCTAGTTACTTATATGGTCATCGAGGTTGTTAATTGTTATGGAAATCTAGAATTATAAATCGTAGGCGGTATACATAGTTATACAACAAGGATGTCTTTTAAAAACCATTCATTTAACAATGGTTATTCGTGATGAGCGCCAATTAATGTTACAAGTAACATTGACGTACCTATAATAATAATAAGTATACATAACATACAAATTATAAATAGGTATTGGTGCGTAATTGTGCGTTTCGTGAAGCACACTACTCTTAGATTTATTTTTTTACAAATTACGTATTATAATATATAAAATTGTTACGATATACGGGGCACGAAACATTTCGTTATTTTTACAAGCAATTGCTCATAATCACGCAGTGTTATAGACCGTATATTATTATATATCAGTATTCAGAGGGTATTATTAGTATTATAATATTATCACATACAAATGATTAATTTTAAATTTCTAACCAATTAAGGTCTATTTACACATAGCCGTTTCGTGTCCGTTCCGTATCCGTACTGTCCGTTCCGTATCATATTCAATTTTAATCAATAATAAATTAAAACAGTACTGTGACATTCGAAAATATTCAAAAAATTTTGTGTCGTGATCTACTAACTCTTCATACAAAGTAGCAAATTCGCTTTCAATTTTTCTTTTTTTCTATAAATAATGAACCCAAATCCTTTTTTGTTTGTTGTTCTTTTTCTCTTCTTCATCCAGCAGCAAGACAAGTACAGGTAGATCTTCTAGAGATTCTGCACTTCCAGTCATACTATAATTTTTTTCGAGTACCCAAAGCAACAGTGAAACACAGTATGTAAAACTCACGTTAGATCAGTAGATAGGTTCTAACAGCACTGAACGGGCACTGACAACGGATGCGGATCGGACACGGAACGGTATTGTGTAAATCCAAAGTAATGAAACTAAACGGACGGTACGGATATGGAACGGACACGAAACGGTTATGTGTAAATAGACCTTTACTCACTGGTGACCGATTTTTCTAGACTATTCATTGGTATTTGAACACAAGTCAACTTAAAATTAACTTTTCATATTTATAAAACGATAATAACTCAAAAAGCTAAAATTAAATCTAACTACAACACGTCAACGGTTAACACAAATAACAATAACCTATAGGTATATTATTACATAATAGTTAATTATTATTAATAATACTCACCAATCACTGTAATTGATCTTCTGCAGCCGCTTGCCGACCGCCGGAACACGTGGTTCAGACCACGGACGAACGTGATCATTTGGGCAGAGTAATTATTAACGGGCGGAGGGAGAATCTAATTTTTTGTCCTGCACCTTAGAAAAAAATAATTGGTTCGTAAAAAATCGTCGGCGATAAAACAATAATGATTTGTGGGTGTGTTTTTGCCGTCGCACTTCTCGCCGCACTTCTAGACGGTACTGTTTAAGTGTTCACTTCACACTTGTTGCAGTGTTTAAATGTTATCATAATATTATTATCGTAGTCGTATTATTGGTGTTATTGTTCACCGTTCACGCATAAGCGACGACGATGACGTGTTATCACGTCCCAATGAATTATTCATATCGATTTATTAGCTATTCGTATGATAATAATATTTCTCGTTTCACCATTTCGTCTTATCTGACGCTTTGATTTCGTATTTTTGTCTCGTACCTATTAGCTAGCAGCGTACAAAGCTCACGGCTAATTACCTACCGGTGCAGATAGCGCTGTGGACGGATTTTATCCGGGTCAGTGTTCGTTTAGTTTTAAATTTTTTTTAACTTTAAAATGTAAAAATACTATTGAGTACTATTAGTAAAATAGCATCATATAATTTATATCGATTTTTAATCGCGTCTCGCCCGCGTTTGCGACGAGAGTCAAAAGCAAAAACAGAACAACAATGTTGTACAATAAACCGATAATTCATGCCGTTTCGGTGTCATGCAATTTGAGAACGGATTGATTGAGAAAAAAATATAAAATACTACAATACTGTTTAATATGTTTACATATTTGTAATATTATGTATAAATATACATATGTGTAGAGAAATTAATAGATAGCGTCTTAATCTTCTTCTTTTCGTGTCGTTTTTTACGCTTTATATGCCTTTCTCTGTTTCTTATATTATGTAGAGATTTATACTACACTACTACTCTATGTGTGATTTAATTTGTCTCTATAAATTCTTCTTTTCTAGACTTAACCGGTAATAGTGAACATGAAACACATGGTTTGAATCTTGCCATTCGCCGCATTCACATTTCCCATTCTCTTTCATTTATCTTATCTTCATGACTTCATATTACCAACAATCCTTTTAGTTTCAGTTTATATCGTATGAAGTGTTTTCTATGTTGACCACGATAAGTAGCTGCTAGAATTACCACCAAGGGCTGAATTCGGATTTTTCTATATCCGTGAGTTTGTATTTTTTGTTTCCTCCTCTTTCCATAGGACAATTCTTATTGCTTCGGGTTTTTGTGATGTAGACTATTTGTTTTATTTATACAATTTTTTCTCGACTTAAGTCGGCTCCTCATGAAGCTTCATATAACCAATGTCTTATATTTGAATATTCTTGTTTTATATTTTCTATCTTTGCTGTTACTTGTCGTATTATGTTTGGAGGTACTATTCCGCATAGTATTTGTACTTTCCATGTTGTTCTCATTGTTCTCAAGCACAAGCACCCCATGATTAGTCTATTTGTTTCATGTAAAAGGTAATGTCTATCTCCTTAGTATATGGTAAGTTCCTCCATGCTGTACAAGTGTTTTCCCCGTCAAGTAATATAATTATAGCGCTGTTGTTTTTAGAATATGAGGATTTGCATTCTGCACCCTATTGAGGGCCAACCAATTTTTGAAGTAATGATAGTTTATGTTTTGACGGTTACTGATGAAGTACTTAGCTTTTTCTCGTGAAAATGATTTTAAATGTTTAGTATATACCTACTTACTTAACATACTTAAGTTTTAAATAAACTTTTTTTTAAAGTATTTTATCTTATTTTTAACTGATCCATACTTAAATTTAATTCTAAAACACGGTTTAATTTACTAAATTACTGCAGTTGCTAATATGTTTTTATAAATAAATAATGTTATTGTTTCTCAAGAAATTAAAATTATTCATAGGTAATTTCATATTATATAAAGCCGTTTTATTTTTTTCAGCAGTACAGCTGCCTGCTATAATATGTTTAGTATGTATGTCACTTAACATAATATAATATATAAGTATTCTTTTTTTAGAACACAATTTTTAAAAATAAGTTATCTTCAGTTTTCAGGATGGATATTGATATTGAAATAATCTAGTTTTAAATCAATTTCAAACTATATAAAAGATATGATATGTAGATTTTAATATCAATACATTATCATATTTTATGTGTATATTGTTTATCCGTCTTCACTAGCTGTTATTAATATGTTCATGTATCTAATATGCTCCAACGAGCGATAATATTTCAATATATATTTTTTTTTAAGTATAATATAATATACATTATACTTATGTAGGTCACTATCATCATGTACATTATATTGATTTCGGTATCATTCATTTTTTGGTCAAGTACAAAACATAATGATAGTAGAATATTATTATAATAAGAACACCGGTAAATTTAACAATTTATTATAAAACAATATAAGTCGTTATAAAGAAAAAACATCGAGAATTGTATTGTTTACTAGTCGCGTGTACTGAGACGATTACAATACTACCTATGTTTATTATATAGGTAATAATATGTTATACTTGGCTAGTCAGTTGTAGCAGAAAAATAAATTGGCATGCAACTATTGTATCGCTATAATGCACATTCCCACATACGGTGTACACTATTTCGATGGATTTTTTTTATAAGCATATTATATAAATAAGTATATAGACGTTTAATAGGTTGGGAACATTTATAACCTACGTTACGACGTACGATTTATCTTATCGATTTTTAATCTTATTTATTTATTTGGTTTCTATTTTTGTATTGAAAACGGTATTAGGCTTTATTTAAAAATTAACGTGGCAATTTTAACGGTTTGCAACAGATTTTTAAAATTTTCAGACTGTATCTAAATAATAAAACGTCTTATCAAGTTTACGAAATTTCCAGCAGTGTTTTACGATATTTTTTGTTCAAACGTGGGATTTTATGGACGTAAATTTTGTTTTTTTGCAAAAAAATTATTATGGTCATTGGTTCGATTATTATACTTAAATATTTGTACATACTACATATTATAATGTTGGTTGTCGATGGGTTCCTGGCGTTTGATTTTGATTTTTTAAGTAGGAAATAACGTTTAGTTATTGAATAAAACCAATTTACTGTTATTATGTTTTTTTTTAATTTTAGTGATTCATCATCAGGTTTTGATGAAAAATAATATTATTCAAAATTGATTGTGGTTTCTTAAAACAAATTGTATCTAGTTGATCAATCAGCAGGTCAAAAATAAATAAGAAAATTCATTGTATTTTTTTTTTAATATTGGAAAAAATGGTAGAAAAACTAGAATATTTATGCAACACTAGTTTTCAAATAAATCAATTTATTTTTTAGAGAGTTCAAAAGGTGTGAATTTGGATATTTGAAAAACTACAAATGTATTATGGAAAATGTCTAGTTAACTGTTCTAAAACAGGCAATACAAGTATGATAAAACTACCTAACTGTTAAAAAATATGAATTTTATAAATTGTTTAGTCAGTGAAACGCATTTTACTAATTACGATACAGAATAGCGAATTTTATATTTATTTCTTATAAGGACTTCATTTACGAATTAATTACAATTTATTGTTTTAATTTATACTTAATAGTACGCGACTATTATGTTTTTCGTGTTTATCATATACAGCATGATGTTATTATTTTTTTGTATTGTAATATCATGTTCTATCATGTATTATAAAATATTTTATAGCATAGAATTAAATTCTTACCTACTATAGCGCACGTAATTTACATGTAAAAATAATCGTCGCTGCTTTGTATTAACTTATGATAGGTATAATTAAACAATAATTGTCATGTAATGATCGATGATAAAATAAAATAAATTCATTTTGTGTAACTCCGTTCAGTTTACATATTTTCACTATCGTTACAAGTTGATATTCACGAGTAATTTAATAATATTAAACTCTGTTATCTTAGCGACATTAATGTATAGTACGATGTATAATGTTATGATGTGATTAATATTTCGTTGTGTAGGTATTTATCTGTTGAAGCAAATAAATTACTGTTTGAAGTGTCAACTGTTTTATCGCAAATTATTTTTTAGTTATTATATTTCGCCGCTGTAATTAAGTGATTGTAAATTAAACAATATTGAAATGCGATCAAACGATTTGATGATCCGTGAAATCAAATTACTTGTATCTATTGTAATTTTTCCTCATAGGTAGGTTAACATCCGTGAATATAACGTATATTGAATCTAATTTAATTTATATATACATACATATATACATGGTCTATTAAATTTTGTGTAATAAAACTGATGGTATTTTCATATATAAGACTAATGTATTATCTGCATTTGCATTTTCAAAGCGTTTTAGATATTTTATAAAAAAACTACGTTTTATTGATTGTACATCTTCGTGATCTTATTGAACCGTAGAATATTACTTTTGAGATTAGGTTTAGACACTTATAATTGATAATATGTATAATGGTGTTATTTTAATTCCAAGCTGTTATTGTATTTTTATGAACCAATAAACTGAATTTTCTATTCCTAAAGGGTTGATGCGACGAGATTTTAATAGATAATAATCGTAGTCTGACGAGTGACGACTGATACTCTATTATTAGAGAGCTAATGAAATCCTTTAAAGTTTCGGTTCATTGTACTTGAAATATATTTAATACTATGTGTAATATATAATATATTCTATTCAAACTATAAGACTGTTGATCGGGTCCCCGCATTATGTCCATTATATAATAATGCATTAGATATTTTCTCATTAATATTATTTAATAATTAACTACCTATAGTGAAAACGAGTATGTTATTAAAATAAATAAATTATCATTCTAAAATATTGTCATTTACGAATTTACCATTATATTTTAATAGTAAATTATTAAATAATACTTTACCATAGTTACGCATGATGTAGAAACCCTGTATTTCAGTATTTTATATTTTTTAAGGGGTTTATAGGTTAATTTTCGTAATTTGCCACGAAATCATTATTTACATTCACTAGAGTATACTACTTTAATGAATAACCTTCTTTTTCCTTTGAAAGGAAATTCATTTAATTAATGTAAATCCAATATGAAGTATAGTCGTTTTACCCAGAATTGATTATTTTTTAGAGGAAGCCACACTCTTGCATGTATCGTCTCAGTCTTATGAATATAGGTACAGCACACTAAATTTTACGTTCAAAATAATCTTTTTTATTATATTATGTAGAATTAGAGCAAATAAACTGAAACATAAGTTGTAAAACTTAAAATTAAGATTATTAACTAGGTAGGGGAATATCCTACGTTTTTAGTGACATTTTAATTTTAAAGATGTAATTTGTTTGTACATCTTAAAACGATTATGATTTGCTTTAAAACTTAATGAAATTCTTCGAGAATTTTGAAATAAAAATCTTACCTTTAAATCATGTAATAGGTCAATTTACTCTAATTTTAAAAATGACGGAATAAAATAGATTATTGCGAACGTAAAATTTGTTATGGCTTATGTTGTACGTTTGTAAGACTGAGGACAACACACGCGGGTGTGCTTAATACACGTCGTAAACAGAGAAACAGTGTTTCGAATACGGACATAATGAGCAATTGATTGAATTTGCGAATAATGATATAGAAATGGTTATATTGTTTTTCAGTATCCAAACGGCCCGCGTGTAGAGAATACAAAGGAAATGACATGAAAAAGGGTTTTATCACAATAACATGCACCATTCTCTTTAATTGCAGGTTGTTTATAATCGCAGTTTAAATGAATTATCTCGTACAAAACTCTGCTACTCATTGTCGAATCAGTGGTATTCGGGGTTTAGTAGCGTATCTTTAGTGTGCGGTGGACGTCGGTCAAAGAATTACATCCTAAAAGTATTGTGTTCAGATTACGAGTAAAACCGTTGATGTATAACACTTCAATGACTATCGTCAAACAATTTAATATAATGTATTTTCACACACTTCTTATAAAATATTCAATTTTAAGTATATTCAATGGCAAGATAAACATTTATAATGATTTTTTTTTATCCTTGATATTTCCGGACACGCAATTGCATTCCCCGAGTACCTTTTGCGCACGCCTAAATGATATATTTATGCAATATGTATATTTGAATTTATACATATATAAATGATACGCCATGTACGATAAATAGATACAAGTATCGATTTATTATATATAAAAAAAAAAAAACACTATACTATATTATGTGCACGACATGATACTTCCTGGTTTCTGTATGTAATTTATAAGTCTATTATGAGGTTACAGCCTATAAAATGTATACAATTACATTAATTATTAAATTTATAATCATTATATCAATACAATAATCATTATTGTGTTGACATTGCGAGCCCGGTAAACATCACAACGTATAACGATCGTTAACTTTTATGAAAATTATTTAATATCGTATACCTAAAGGTATAAACTTAAATTTATCTAGTTTGTTTGAGACTATTACTTACCTTATTTGTTCACAAAAATTGACCATAATTTAATAAGTAAAAATTAAGATTTTTATTACTGAATGCAAACGTGTATTTTAATAATTCTTAATTTTCCACTAATTTAATTTAATTGATGCATGTATTTATTCAAACGATACATATTGCTAATAATAATTTGTATAATAGTACAATTTTATTTTTGACGGGTATATGTATACAGATAAATACGCAGACGCATAAAAATGAATTACATACATTTGGATATTTTGTAACATGTCTAGACGAAGGAATCTTTGTAGAGTTTGGTACAAATACAAATTGATCGACGTGAACCTAGCAGTTTAAGGCATAGGCTTACAATAAATATTTAAATAATCGGATATCATCAGATGCTACTTTATATAGTTTGAATTTGGTTCATTCGCGTGTAATAGTGGGCTGTCGTATTTGTCGTTGAATTAAATTCGTGCTCAAACACTTTTTTCAAAAGGATATTCTGGATGATCTAAGATTCTGGAAAAATAAAACCATGACCGAATATTATATTATGTTTTACTATAGAAAAGCAAAATATAGACGTTAAAGTCAATACATTTAAAGGTCTAAAGTGTAAAATTAATGTATAATATTATGAGCGTGAAAAATGGACGGTCTAATGAAATAATATCGCAAGAAATTATTATAAAAACCAGATGATACGCGCATCGGAATCGTCGACGCAAGACAAAATGTTTTCAAACAATGTGATGTCTCATAAAGTTTGTTTACGAATATTTTGAAAAGTTTAGAGTGCATCATCTGGTTTTATAGAATCTAATCTATGATAATAAAATATAACTTACCCTTTGAAGAATAAAAGTCGTACGATACGGCCTCCTTCTCCCGCATCCTGATCAATCAAGGCTTCCATGTCTTGCTCGTCCAATTCAAAGTCGAAAATCTATTGACAAAAAAAAATTAATCATAACGATTAGTACAATATATTATATTATTAATTAATATTAATTTAATTTGATTAATATTATATTATATTATCATAATATGATAAAATTTTACAAATAGTTTTATATTTCTAGACAGCACATAATCATAATCATAATTACTTATAATAATATTATTAATATGACAGTATACGTATTTGATTAGAATAATATGTACCTCTATATTTGACATCAATCGCTGTGGATTGGTACTTTTTGGTATGACCACGATACCTTTCTGGACAATAAATCGCAACAACACTTGGGCCGGAGTCTTGCTGTGTTTCTTCGCAATGTTCAATAGTACTTCGTTTTCCATAATTTCCGGCAAATCCTTCCTATGTAATGACATACGCTCATTTATAAAAGATAATTTTTACCATATCCTTGGATGTAGTCAAACAATAATATTTCATTATTTTATTATCATTATAATATTATTACGTCCAATTCATTCCCAAAGATTCTCGACCGCCTTTTGCCCCTAAACACGAATACGCCGTTACAATAATATCGTTGCTTTTGCAATATTCTACGAGTTCAGGTTGTTGGAGGTATAGATGATTTTCTACTTGCAAGTTTTCAGGCTTGATCTTACAATTGTCTAGCACCCTCTGTATTTGACGAATGTTGAAGTTCGACAAGCCGATCGCCTTTGCTCGGCCATCAGTCACCTGTTTCTCCATCATCTGAAATATACGAATATAAATAAGTAAACTGAGATCTAGCTCACCGCATTATAAATGAACCGTAATGGTGATTCTCAGAAGTCGTTCGGATAATAAATAGGTTTTACACGAAATTGCTTAATACTACGAACGTATTACGACGCATTTATTAAAATAGCCATTACGGCGGTCTTAACCTTCCAGGTCGCCAAGTGATCAGTGGTAACATCAATTTCCATGTCGCTTAAGACGGACGATTTTCCCGCGATCACGCTGAACGGAGTGTGTATCAAGTACATGTCAACGTAGTCCAACTGCAAGTCTTTTAGCGATTTTTTTAAACATTCCTCCAAGTCTTCAGGCCGATTTTTGAAAGGGGGAAGCTGCAAAGATATCAAATTTGTGTTTAGGTGGTGGTTATGCAATTTATTTCCAATGGCGATTGAATATTAGCATCATGACTTCGAATCGCAAGTCCATAGGCAGGTATATCGCAGTAAGTATCTACCTTGGTGACGATAAATAACTCGTCTCTAGTCACTTTGCCAGATGTAATCCATTCTTTCAAAACTTTTCCTATGACGTGTTCGTTCTCGTAAGCCGTTGCCGTATCGATGTGCCTGTATCCACACTTCAGGGCTTCATTTAAGGCTGATTCCAAAACACTGTCCACGGCCTAAAATAATTGAAAATATCATAAGTCTTATCAAACGATAATTGAATTGATAAGGTTGATTATATAACAGGTGAGTACAAATACTCAGTGTGATTACATGGAAACTACCTAAATTGTTTCATACTTTATTATTTAGTATGTAGAATGTAGTATGTACAGTTTTATAATATTACTATCTGAATGGTTCTTAACAGGAATAAATATTACATTTTGTTGGTGTGAAACAAAGTTTAACAGTTTTTAATGTTGCCTTAGTATTTTATTAATCAACGCCGAAATGTTAATTAAAGCAAAATAATATTTATATAATCTACTTTTATGTAGTTACTTATAAATAGTATCATTAGTTGATGCAAAAGAGGGCGATGGGCTTCTTCTTTGGCTAATTTTTTTTGTAAATATGTACAACATACGTGCTTATCATTTTAATGCTGTACTAATTTTTTAAAATCAAAAATTGTATGTCTAATTATGCATTATGGGAAATATTATGAATATATTATATTGTTCCGGGTACATTTTTTTTATTTGGTGTAAATATTTTCCATAAGTTGTTTTTAAAAGTATTGTAGTTTCATAATTTGAAAAATTACCCCTCCCCACACCACTTGAAACATTTCTAGATTTACCACTAAGCTGGTTTTAATGGAGTATTCTCATTTATTAGTGCCTGGTAGACGGTAGTCAACTCTGACGTATAAGTTAACGGTCGTGCAACACATTACAGGAATGCACAACCTGGCACTTATTAACACATATATAACAGTTTATGTATAGATACATTGTTATACGCATATTGATTTATTATTGCACACGTCATATTATAATGAGTGATTTGGCTGAATACACGTTCGGTTGCAGATATATTCATTTTAATGTACTCAATAGTTGCTGCATGTTAGGTAATGTGAAACAAATAGTTAATGTAGTTTAAAATTAAAATTGATTGTTTCATAATCAATTTTGAACGTGTTTAATGTCATCCCAATCATCTAACGTCGTTTGCATGACTGTGCATAAAGGCGATTACAAAATCTCAATTTTTCTACATCTACAATTGGCACCCCATAAGATCAAAGAAGAAATTTAGTATTAAAAATGCAATGTTTTACTGTAGGTTCTTGATAATAAATTATAAGTGAAAAATAAAATACAATATAAATATATTAAAATGTTAATCCAAAATTAAAAATATTCAAAGATAATTTTATGTTCGACTACTAATACGAGTATTATGAAATATTGTTCGTTTTAAATACTTATTTCTAATCATAACTCTATTACTCAAAACTTATTGAGTCTAAAATTTTTTTGTTATAAATAGTTAAATTTTATAAATCTTAAAAATAAAAAATAATTGACATTATGGTTGCTATTTAAAAATCAAAATTTTACAATTTTAAAAATAAAATATGACTTAAATAATTAAAACGAGAATAAAAGTTCATAAATGTTTAAAAAAAATAAATGTATGTAAAAAATATATCATTTATGTTGTTTTTTAAAATAAAAATAATAATAAATCTATTATCGGTGTTTTCCACCGTTATTGTCATATACAATGATAAAAACTAACTGATATACAACGCGACGACGGCAGAAAGTACCAAAGATTATAATTATAACTTTTAAGGTCGACATTCGCTATTGATTGTTATTATTTTGTTTATATTTCTCAGTTAGTCGGCTCTAATTGTCTTATGATTATTGATTTATTATATTATTGTGAATATTACACAGTTTCTTTATTTTTTCATTACACCCAACTTACCTAAATGCTTGATTTTCAAAAACATTCAAATTGAAAAATAAATATATAATATTATTATACTATGTTGGTTCCTAAAAATAAAAAAAAGAACAATATTCAAAGTTTTAATTCAATTTATATTAAATCATTAACATTAGTTAATATGCATAAGATAAAATTTAAAAAACCTCGAATGTGTTCAAAACTTATTAATCGTGAAAATATATTAATCAACGAATTAAAAGAATATTTTGGTTTTTGGTTTTTTAATATCAGAAATTAAAAATATATTTGTAGGTTACGGTCATGAAACGACTACGATGTATTTATAATATTTAATACCACTTTTTTACGCAAAGATATAGACATCAAAAAAATGTTTAAATCGGCAAAAATGATATTGATGATCAAATTGGTTCAATTAAAGAAGTTAGGGGTGAGGTGATTTAGTGGAAACAGTTTTGGAAATTCCAATTAGATAAACTGAAAATTACTATAGAAACGTTAATTGCTGCATTTGAATTTTATCCAAATATGAAGGAATTGCTAAATATTATTTACGTTATACTAGTTACCACTTGCATCGCAGAAAAAATGTTTTCCTCAACTCGACGAACAAAAAAATATTCAAGATCAACAATAGAAGAAAATAGATTAAAAGGACTTCTCATTATTTACAGGGATATTAAAATCATACCAGAGAAAGTTATTGAAGAATTTAGCGAAAAAAATACTCAAGAAAATTACAGTTACAATTAATGGTATGATAATAATGTTATTTTTGAGATGATATTGAATAAATAGGTACTGATGTTTGGGAAAAAAAGTTAGCACTAATGTATTAAATAAAGTATAAAATAAAAATAATTTTATATAAAATAAATTTATCAATTTTTATTTTTTGAGCATCTTCTGTTAAAATTTCCTAGATCCACGTCTGAGGAGGACAACATTAAAACATAAAGTTGTTAGACACCAATATTAAAATAAAGATAAAAAAAAAAAAAAAAATGAATGCGGCGTAAGGTGTAATAAAATGGCAATTATATAGTAGGTAAACCTATATAACATTGTCCACAAATACTAAAGTCACGATTTTTAGCTGTAATTATTACGGTTTTATAATATTTCAATAATAAATAATAATTTTTTTTGAACAAGTGCATACTTAATATTAAACAGTTTATATGACATGATATTATGTTTGAGGTGTAAGACTATATTTAACGTCAATAAACTATAATGAATATCCAGGAAAATACCATAGTATATTATTTATTCTTAATAATTATAATTTATGTGATTGTAGCTGTCATTGCTATAGAAAGACCTTCAGATTTTAAGCATCCTCAACGCGATGATAAGTGATAACTATTAACTGATATTTTCGTCGTGATTCTAGAATTTGAACGACATATTGTTGCGTATTACGTTATGAATATATTGTCGTATATTGCATGGCAAAGCTGTTTAGTATTATTCTTAGTATTAATATATTTTCATCGAACGCAAATTTAATTGGAAAGCAGATCTTACATGGGAGTGTGGCTCTTGCGGTGGGTGTAGTGTATCACATAAATTGTGTTGGAGTATTAAATTTGAGAATGACGATAAATCTTCTTTTACAGAAAAAAAAAAAAAAAAAACTATTCCGAGTATACAGCTCATTTACGAGCCACTCTTGCTAACGTTTCTTTGGTAATTCGTTGTAGTTTTTCTTTGTAATTTTGACGTATAATAAACTTGACAAAAACCAGAAAAGTGATTTCCTAGAAGTTATAACGCCGACGTGAATTGACTTCCGGCCATTGATAGACAGAAATAAATGGCGTTATATTTGACGAACAGTATCTATCTGCCCGTCAAAGATCCCGCCAGTACAGATTGTCTAAATACAACTTATCGATTTCGCCACCAGCCAATTTTTATCTGTGGTCATCCCATTACCTCCTTTACTTATTCATTTACATTTGACAAATATTTTTGGAAATAATTACTCAAGTACAAGAACTTGCATAAATATATTATAAGCAAAACGTACATGCCTATAAAACAGATTACTTATATAAATATATCAACAGTGTATCTATAAAATAATACGACAGTTAGTTAACATTTAAATATCAAAGTAAAAATGCACCTACTAATAATACTAATAATAATATTCATATTTATCATATTCCTTTACATAAAAGGGCATTAACAAACAAAAAAAAACTTATTATGTATACATTGTACGCAATTTAACTTCAAATTGTACTAAAATAACTACATTAAATTATAATTTTATAAGCAAAATAAAAATTTAATATTTGTTTGGGAAGATTTATTTTTTCTCGGTTTGATTAGATGTCGAAAACGATGGGATATTTTTAGACCACCTGTACTGGCGGAACGATACCAGTGGAATCGATATTTCTTTTTCATAACTATAAGAAGACTGCCGGAATCGAAAAAACCCTATCAAATAGTTTACATTAAGTGATAATATATTAATAATAAAACGGGTGTACATGGATTCCACCGATTTTTAGGTAATTGGTTTTGGGGTCTGATTTATAACATTTAAAAATAAACGATAACACTACCAATACTATATGAATGGAAATTCCACAGTTTTTGTAAAAAAATAATTATCACATTTGATAGCATAATTTTAAGTAAACAATAAACATAAGTATAACTTATAAATATCTATGTACAATAAAAATAAATAAATTAAAACTAAATTCTCCTATACACAATACAAATTTAAAATAATGTAAATTATGATTTTTTTTTGAAAAAACGGAAATGTATCGTACTACTTGATATTTTCTCTATATCATTGGAGTAAAAATAATCGTAGAAAATTTTTTCCCGGTTTTTGACATTGAGATTTAAGGTTTAAGTGTTTTGCTTTATTAATCGGTGATGAATTTAATGGTGTGCTGTTTTGTATACTTCTTGAATTTTTGACATTTGTCTGTGACACGTTTAAATTTTTGATAGGTTTTGGTCGTCGGAATTCAAAGTTGTAATTAACAATTTTAAAGGGTTTTAAAAATTTAAATTCTAATATAATTATTAAAGTGCAAACAGAATTCGAATAATAAAATTTGTCTTATTATAAAAATATGAAATATGTCGAAGCAAATAAAATTGAAGAAACAAAAAAATATTTCGAATAAGTAAAATTTAATCATATTATTAATAAAACATAATTTTAAATTAAATTTATCAAAGAGATTGCTATGATACACAAAAATAC